CGCTCCCCAGTGCCCTCTGCCAGCATGACCCGCCTGATGCGGTCCCGCACGGCCTCGGGCTCCAGTGTCACGTCCCTGGAGGGGTCCCGCAGCCGCTCCCACACCAGCGAGGGCACCCGCAGCCGCTCCCACACCAGCGAGGGCACCCGCAGCCGCTCCCACACCAGCGAGGGTGCCCGCCTGGACATCACCCCCAACTCCGGCTCCACTGGGAACAGCGCGGGGCCCAAGTCCATGGAGGTGTCCTGCTAGGCGGCCTGCGCGCCCCGCCGCCCCCTGGACTGTGGGACCATAGTAGCTGCCCCCTTCTCCTGCCCTCCCCAGCCCCTGCCCGCCATACCGCACGCAACTCGGTATTAACCCCAAGCTAGTTTTGTAGGAGGGAGCTCTGGCCATGACTTTAGATGGGATTTGTCCAGGGCGCCCCCTCCAGGGCCGGGCGGGGTGGACCAAAGGAACGGAAGCATCTTAGTGTCCCCTGTGCATTGAAGAGTGGCCTGGTGGCCGCTGGCTTCCCCTCCCTCCAAGATGCCAAACTGCCCCAAACAAGAAACATAGCAGGAAATAGGTCCTAATGAAAAAAAAAAAAGATGCTCGGCCAGGTGGGCACAGAGCAGGCCCCGAGGCTGGCGTGTGGCTGCTCCTAGCGTCCTCCCACCCTAACGGCCCTCTCCTCTCTCCCCAGTGCCCTCTGCCAGCATGACCCGCCTGATGCGGTCCCGCACGGCCTCGGGCTCCAGTGTCACGTCCCTGGAGGGGTCCCGCAGCCGCTCCCACACCAGCGAGGGCACCCGCAGCCGCTCCCACACCAGCGAGGGCACCCGCAGCCGCTCCCACACCAGCGAGGGTGCCCGCCTGGACATCACCCCCAACTCCGGCTCCACTGGGAACAGCGCGGGGCCCAAGTCCATGGAGGTGTCCTGCTAGGCGGCCTGCGCGCCCCGCCGCCCCCTGGACTGTGGGACCATAGTAGCTGCCCCCTTCTCCTGCCCTCCCCAGCCCCTGCCCGCCATACCGCACGCAACTCGGTATTAACCCCAAGCTAGTTTTGTAGGAGGGAGCTCTGGCCATGACTTTAGATGGGATTTGTCCAGGGCGCCCCCTCCAGGGCCGGGCGGGGTGGACCAAAGGAACGGAAGCATCTTAGTGTCCCCTGTGCATTGAAGAGTGGCCTGGTGGCCGCTGGCTTCCCCTCCCTCCAAGATGCCAAACTGCCCCAAACAAGAAACATAGCAGGAAATAGGTCCTAATCCAGGCCTAGGCTGACCCGGGCATCCGGGCTCTCAGGGGCCTTTGGGGGAAGTCAGCCCACCTGCTTCTGTTTCCTCTCCTGCTAAAGACAAACCCACCCAGTTTCTGGAAACAATACCCTCCTCTGGTTTGGGGAGGAGGGAGCAGCGAGCCCAGGGGGGTGGGCTGGTGTAGGCAAAACAGGCATTGGGGAAAAGAGGCAGAGCTGACTGGGAGGCTCAGTTTGGAAAAGCAAATCTAGATAGCTCACCTGAAATCGATTTTTAAAGTTCGCGCATACACATACTTCGCAATGCCGACGCACGCACGCAGGCCTGCTTTCCTGACATTTGTTTTTCGTGAACACAAAGGCGGGGACAGATCCTCCTGGCTTTGCTGCAACGACAACAAAACCCGTGGGCAAGTGCTTGGCATCACGGAGTTAAGGCTTTGGCTCTGCTCTCTCCTCCTCCCCCTCAGCCCCTGCTTCCCACCCCCAAGACATGAGCGAATGGTTATTTCCTTCACAGGGAAGAGCCTCTAAATATGGGGGTGCTTTCCTGGAGATGGAGGGGACATTCCCAATAACAGACTTGTGGTTGGGATGGAATCCAGGGTAGTTGTGATTTCTGTGGAGCTCCCCCTGGTTTCGAGCGAGACCTTGTGTGATTGAGTTCAGTCATGGTTGAATCTGAGCTTGACCGCCCAACCTTTCTGACCCGGTTACATTCCTGGATCTTCAGATAGACCTGTTGGCTTTTGTAGGGGGTGGGGACTCCCAGGGGCGGGGGAGCAGATGTAAGGGTTCCGGAATGTGTATCCCCTGGGATCTCCTTCCCTCTCCTGCCTCCCGCTCCTCCCTGCACCCCTAACCTCCTCTCTCTGAATGGGGCGGCACCACTGACATGTTTGGGTCACGTTCCCGTACTGCTGCCTCCGAGTCTCATCCGGCTAACCATGCATCTGCTAGGGAGTCTGATCAGAGGGAATGGGACGTTGGGAATCGGCCGCTGGGACCCCGTGGTCTCCGGGCCCCTGGAGTGGGTGGAAGGGAGTAATCAGGCCTTGCAGGCAGCGTGAGGGGCCATGAAGAGTCCATCCACCTGCCGCCTTCTAGGGGAGGTGTCCCCTGACCTCGAGCAGAGGGTCAGGGGTCGGGAGGAGTGGCTGGATCCAGACGGAAAACTGCTGTGTACACGTCTCTCCAGAGGAGTTTCTTAACGAGATATTTGTATTTATTTCCAGACCAATAAATTTGTAACTTTGCAGTGAGGTGTCCTTTTTCTCTGCGGAGAGCGTGCGTGCGGCGCCGTGGTTTAAGGGCGGCCTTTCCTCCCTGGGCCCCGGCCACAGGCCCCTCGCCTGTGGCTTCATAGAGCATCGCTGCCCAATAAAAACGCAACGTGAGCTCCCCATTTTCTTTTTTCTATTTAAAATAAATATTTTTTTATTGATTTCAGAGAGAAAGGGAGAGGGAGAGAGAAACACCAATGATGAGAGAATCATGGATCGGCTGCCTCCTGCACACCCCCACTGGGGATTGAGCCCGCAACCCGGGCATGTGCCCCTCAATGGGAATCGAACTGTGACCTCCCGGTTCATAGGTCGACCCTCAACCACTGAGCCACGCTGTCCGGGCAGTGTCCCATTTTCTGGTGGCCACATGAAGAGAGAAAGAAGAGGTGCATTTAACTTTAGCAGTGCATGCAACCCAGGGCATTAGAATACTCCCGTTTCAGCGTAGACTCAGTGTAACAGTTATTCAGGGGCGTCATTCTTTCCTTTATGCCTCAAAACCAGCGTGTAATTCACACCACAGCAACCCCAGGCCAGCGCTCCCCAGCCTGGACGGCACAGCGGTGGTGGGTACGGCTCCTCCACCTGCACGGACAGGGAAATAGCCCTTTTACAGTTTCTTTTCCTTTTAGAAATGTCTGTGGAAAGGCCACTCCTTTCCTCACATCCAATCACAACCACTCGAATGCGTGTTTCTACTGAGAAAGAAAAAAGTAAATACAACAGGTTTTAGTACAACCTCTCACTTTTGTCTCAAGATCAGTTTAAAACTCACAAAACAGGGACAAAGATAGTATGATGAGCTCCCAGAGACCCCTGTTAACATAAGAAACATTCAAAATGTTAAAACATTAAACATTTTTGTGAGTTTATTGGAGCCACACTGTCGACAATTGCTGGGAAGCAGAATCTCATTGCATTGAGAGAATGTTCTGGAGAAGGGCGGTTTTGCTCCAGGTTTTATCCATTGCAATCAAAGGAGGAGACCTTAGCAGGAGTGGGCAAACTTTTTGACTCGAGGGCCACAATGGGTTCTTAAACTGGACCGGAGGGCCGGAACAAAAGCATGGATGGAGTGTTTGTGTGAACTAATATAAATTCAGAGTAAACATCATTACATAAAAGGGTACCTACGATCTTTTTTTTTAGTTTCATTCATTTCAAATGGGCCGGATCCGGCCCTCGGGCCGTAGTTTGCCCACAGCTGCCTTAGTGGATTAGATGAACTCCATTGGTGATGGAATAGGGAGGCGGGAGAAAGCAAAGCAGGGAACCTCTGGGATTGGATAAAAAGTGAAATGATGGACACATTCCTCCTTTACTCAGGTGGGTGCAGGACAGTTAACAGTCAACAATGAACAGGATAACAGCCTAACAGCAAGGGAGTTTGTGGTCCCCGCTCTAGCCCCTTGGCTGTGCCCTGAGGGGCCCCGGGAAAGGGAAGTTACAAGTTACCCCGACATTCCACAGGTATGTTACGTTAGATGCAGAAAGACCATAGACTCATAGTTGGTGTTTGTCAGGGAAGATACTGGTCTAGGACATGACTACCCACTATAAACTGCTTTGTAATTTCACAAGTTTAACAGCAGACCATCGTTTAGGTCTCTGAGTTTGCAAGGCCGCCACGCAGGCCCTCCCTGAGTTAGTCAGGTTCGCATGTGGCCCGTTTTCGTCCACGCCCCACACTCAGTTTCCCTTATTATTTTTATGTTTAAATTTTTGAGAGAGAGAGAAGCATTGATTTGTTGTTCCACTGACTCTTGCATTTCTTGGCTGCTGCGTGTATGTGCCCTGACCGGGGGTAGAACACACAACCTTGGTGCATCAGGCCGATGCTCTAGTGGTCGGCAAACTGTGGCTCGGCAAACCGCAACTTGCGAGCCACATGCGGCTCATTGGCCCCTTCCGTGTGACTCTTCCACAAAATACTGACTTCTGTGCATGGGCCACGAAGTTTCAATCGCACTGTACGTGCGCACCTGCACGTGGTATTTTGTGGAAGAGCCACACTCAAGGGGCCAAAGAGCCGCATGTGGCTCGTGAGCCGCGGTTTGCTGACCACGGCTCTAACCAAGCGAGCTACTCGGCCAGAGTCCCCTTGTTCTTATTAATGTCTTAGGTTATTGTGGCACGTCGGTCACGACTAAGAAACCGACACTGATACATTATTATTAGCTAAGCTCCATGCTTTATTGGATTGCACGAATTTTGCCCCACTGTCCCTTCCTGCCCCAAGACCCGCCCAGGACACACAGGGCCTGTGGTCACGTCGCCTTAGCGCCTGGCCTGTAACAGCTTCTCACTCGCTGTGGTGACCTGGAGAGTGTGAGAAGCCCGGCCAGGCTTTGGGTAGGGCGGCCCTCCATGGAGGTGTGCACCATGCTTTCCTCTGGTTCCATTAGAGTTTGCGTCCTCGGAATGAAGGCCCCGGAGGCCCTTCTCATGATGGGTCAGCAGCGTTTCTCGCCGATGAGCTTAACCTTGATCACCTGGCACAGGTAGCCTTTGCCGGGTTTTTCCGCTGTCCTTACCTTTTCCACGCCCCTTTCCAAGCAAGGCACCAAACGCAGCCCACACTTAAGACGCCCTCCCTTTCATTTCATTTTTTAAATGTGTTTTTAATTGATTTTTAGAAAGAGAGGAAAGGAGGGGGACAGAGAGAGAGAAACATCATGAGAAAGAAACATCATCAATCAGCTGCCTCCTATACGCCCCAGCTGGGGGGGGGGGGGGCGAGCCCGAAATCCAGGCATGTGCCCTGATGGGGAATCGAACCAGCAACTTCCTGGTGTTCAACCACTGAGCCACACCCGCCGGGCAAGTCACACACACCCCTACCCCCCTAAACAGCGCCATGCTGTCACTCATTCTGGTTTTTCTTCACGTGCCCTGAGTGTCTGAGTGGATCATCAGCGGTGAACACAAAGCCGGCCACGTGGTGCAGAGTGGACGGGCTGCAGTCCGGCCCGTGGCTCAGGAAATGGGTCTGGGGGTTGCGGGAGTTGCTGACTCAGCGCGGAGGGTGAGACAGCATCCCAGCCGGGGGCCCGTGTACACGCCAGCATGGAGGGTGGGAGACGTGTGCCTGCATGAGAAAGCCGTGGTCCAGACCCGGGCGGTGACTGTGTGTGTTGTATGTGGCCAGAAGCCAGGCAGGGAGAGAGTTAGACACCTAAAATAAAATCCCTAGGACAGGGTCCTCAAACTTTTTAAACGGGGCCAGTTCACTGTCCCTCAGACCGTTGGAGGGCCGGACTATAGTTTAAAAAAAAAACTATGAACAAATTCCTATGCACACTGCACATACCTTATTTTGAAGTAAAAAAACAAAACGGGAACAAATACAATATTTGTATTTGCATGTGGCCCGTGGGCCGTGGTTTGAGGACCCCTGCCCTAGGATTACAAAAGCAACCACGTACAGGGAAGGAGAACTGCCCAAGTGTGGCAATCAGGGGACATAGCAACACGTACTTGTTTTTCTTTTTCTTTTCTTTTAAATATTTTTATTTCAGAGAGGAAGGAAGAGGGAGAGAGAATAATCAATGGTGAGAGAGCATCACTGATGGGCTGCCTCCTGCACGCCCCCTACTGGGGATGGAGCACACAACCTGGGCCTGTGCCCTGACTGGAAATTGAACCTTGATGTCCTGGTTCATAGGTCGATGCTCCACCACTGAGCCACACCGGCTGGGCTCAACACGTACTTCTTTACGAACAAGTTAGATAGTAACGAGGAGGCGGGCTCCGTGGAACTGCCAAGCGGTGATGCGCACAATACCTGGGGTTCCCACCACAACTGTGCTAGGAAAACAGATGTGACCTCAGCTGGTGAGGTCAGGGTTCGTGTCTGTGTGGAGACAGAGCAAAATGCTCAAAGGCAGTTAGAGGTCAGCGAGAACCAGATGCCTGTTCTCCCGTCCGGTCCGTGGCCCCTGAGTTCCCTCCGGGGTTCCGGGTGGGAGGCCCCAGGTGAGGAAGCCCGGCTCCAGGCCCAGGTGGGCACGTGCAGGCTCCTGCGGATTCAGCACTCACAGTAAGGGCCTCTCCGGTCTCCCCTCCTGAGCGGAGCCAAGGAAAGGCAGGTGACAGGAACACCAGCGAGTGCTGGGCAGCGGGGTGGGACACCCACCAGCTTTGGGGCGGAGCCGGCACAGACACCCTGGACCTGCCTCCACCAGCTCAGGCCTCCACGGAGGGAGGGAGTGCCTGAGGGAGGGAATGACTGCGGGCGTGGGCAGGTGTTTGCTATTTGGAGTCGGTGGCCGGAGGCTGTTTTGCCAGCTGGGATCCGCCTTGTTCTCCTGGCTGCTGGTTTTGGTTTCGTGCCCTTATCCGTGGGTCTCGGCAGCAGCTGGAGACCCAGTGTGCACCCAGATCGGCCACCTGCTGGGTGTGTGTGGGCAGCCGCAGTCCCCATCTGCCCGCTCAGTGCAGCCTCGCAGAACAAGGCATTCTGCTGGCTCCTAGATGCAGCCCCAATCCGTCTGTTTGCCTTGGGCTCCCCAGGCTGCATGGGACCCGTCACCTGTGTCCCTCCTGGAACGCAAGGGCAGAAGGGGAAGCCTGACCCTATGGGGCTGCGGAAGGGATGGGCGGGGTCCTTCCAAGCAGATCAGGCTCCTCCTCCCTAAAGCCAGATTGGTCTGCATGTCAAGCACAGAGTGGAGGCCCTACCCCGAGGACTACCTGGCCTTTGGTCTTTGGACCCAGAACCCATCAGGCTTAGTGTACCTTCAGGGGGAAGGATCTCATTGGCCCAGCTGGGCTCAGGTGTCCACTCACTGTCCAATCAACTATGACTGGGTTCACTCTAGTCCCAGCCCCTCCCCCCGCATACAGGCAATAGGGGCTCCCGGGAATGGATGCCGTTGCAGCAGGTGAATTGCTATGTCCGTTGTGGACTTGCATCCCGTGGCAGCAAACTCTGCTGCAGGTCAGGCCCTCCCTCACCCCTGCTCGCAGCAACGTTTCCTGAATGCCCCTCCCTCCCAGGGAGCGCTGGCCCGGTGACAGGGGCACCTGGCAGAGGCGGCCTCGGGAGGACACGTGGCTTTTATAACGTGCATCCCCTTGCCTTTCCTTTCCCCATCACCGGCATTGCTTTCGTATCTTCAGCGAGTGTCCAGCACATAACAAGAGGTGGTTGCTCAGTGAATAAACACGTCCTTTAGTAAGGGTAATACTTAGCATATGTTTTAGTTTCCTCCCCCTGTTCTCTCTCGCTGTGAGACTGAGTTATCCTGGCTTCATAGAGTAAAACAGATCCAGGGCTCATTAGATTAAACGGCTCGCCCAGCCCTTTCTAAAGCGGGTGACACCCTCCTGCCTTTGAAACGGCTCCGTGAGCACGTGACTGACGAGAGCTCCTATTGATGCCCTGGGATGAGAGCACCTGTGGGGACCTGGGCTTTGATTGCCTGCAGGGGCTCCTGTCCCTCCATAAACAGCCCCGCCCTGGTGGTGACTTTCCTTTACCGGGTTTCCTTTATCTGGTTCTCAGTCCCTGTGTCTCCTCAGCTGGCGAGCTGAGGTTTTCTCACCGCCATGGATCAGCCTGCCCCTACTCCAGTAGCGTCCTCTCCCCTTTTATGGGATGGATGAAGAAATCCGCTCTGTTAATGCTGTGGGAAAGACCGGAGTGGTCAGGGTCAGCATGGAGGTCTGGAAACGGTTTTCACGGGATATGATGTCCAGGGGCTTGGTGCCCAGTCTCCCATCTGTGCTCGGCTCAGAGGGGGCAGCCATGGTCGCTGACCTCACAGCCCCAGGTCTCGGTGGGGATATAGAAAAACGCTGAATAAATGAGCAAGTGACTGAGTGAATGAATGAATGAAGGAATCAATGCTAACATTTCCAGTTTACATTTAAGGGAGATGTCTGGACACTTTGCAGCACTGGTCTCTCCTGACTGCCACAATCCCTGTCTCTAAGCGCATCTCCCAACTTCCAGCTGTTTCCATGGCGTCTGCAAAAGGCCTGGGACTGAGTTCCGCCACCTGCCTTTGGGTGACCGTCCCCAAGGCTTCGTCCTTGTCTCGCGATCACCGACTGCACAAGGAAACCCACCAAGTCCAGTAAGTCACTGTGCTGGTGGTTTATTGCTTTAAGGAGGAAAGCCATAAACGGGGAATTTGAACAATGAAAACGTGAAGTCCTTCACGTTGAACAAATGCGTTTACGCAACACAGATCACGAGATGCTGCGAACCGTGACAGACACCCACAGGCCGCGTCTCTGCTGAGAGGTGCCCAGGCATTTTCCTGTATTTTCTTAGTCACTTACAAACCTGGCAGGAGGAGCACTTAAATATGAAGTCACAGCTTGAAAATCGATATACACATTTATACACAGACCACGCGTATGTGCAGACATGCGCCATCGATCCGCACGACCATTCGTGAGTCCCAGCTGGGCCGGGGATCCTGGCAGTTAGTTTAGATCAAGGTAAGTCCTTCAGAAGCAACGACCTCACGCAATGTGATCGTCACAGGCCACGTCAGTTCCCACAATCCCCCTGTGGACAGGGCACGATGCTAATGAGGCTGCAGACGATGACGTCATCGGAGCCGGCTTGTATCCTGGTGGGAACCCCTCTGCAAGCCATGCACATCCCCTTCGCTGCGCATCACAGTGTGCAGTGCTGGGCGAACCACGCCGCCTGTGAGCGCAGGGCCCGGTTCTGGGCCGCAGGAGGGACGGTCCGCAGGGGAGGCATGGGATTCTGCCCACCTCACATGTTTCTGGGCACTCGGAACCTCAGTGACCTGAATGCCAGGTTCCCCTCTTGGAAAAGGCCCTAGAGCAGCGCTTCTCAACCTGTGGGTTGCGACCCCTTTGGCGGTCGAACGACCCTTTCACAGGGGTCGCCTAAGACCATCCTGCATATCAGATATTTACATGACGATTCATAACAGTAGCAACATTACAGTTATGAAGTAGCAACGAAAATAATTTTATGGTTGGGTCACAACATGAGGAACTGCATTTAAAGGGCCAGAAGGTTGAGAACCGCTGCCCTAGAGAGACAGTGAGGAAGGGCAAAAAAACAACAACACGAGAGCGAGGAGTCGCTGACTTCGACGTGTTCGCCTGCCCTGATGTGCCTGGGAGCTCTGAGAGGAGGAAAGACATCGGGGTGATCAGGCCAGTCAGCGGGGGTTGCAATCCCGACCCCCACGGACCAGCTGGGCGGCTGTGGCCCCGTTTTCTCACGGCTCTGAGCTTCCATTTCACATTTGTAAGAGCAGGAATCGTAGTGGACACCTTTCAACACGACCCTGACGTGTCCGTGAGCTAGTGCAAGGGAGGCACTGAGAACATGCTGTGTGGCAGGTACAGAGTGGAAGAAGGTAACAGTAAAGGGTTCTAGTTCACTAACAAAATGAATACTGGCCTCCTTGCCACGGGGACAGCCTTGTCGTGCTACTTGCCGCAACCCCATTGGCTCTTGATCCCTGTGAAGTAGGTTTCTGTTTCTAACCAACTGGTAAACCTCAGTCTTGTGGGTCAGAACGGGGTCGTGTGGGTCGACAGGCCCAAAGTCTGTGACAGGGGTCACTGAGGCAGAAAGAGACGGTGTGTCCTGGGCCCGGTGGCCGTAGCCACCCAGGCTGATTCAGGCTGGACCCACCCCCTGGCCTGACCCACCCCTGGCCTGGACCTCGGCCACTGTAGGAGGGTCTGGCCGGGACATCAGTTGAGGTCCCTAAGTGCAGAAGAATGTCCCAGAACACCACTCTCAGGGGTGAGCGAGGCCATCCAGGGGCTCCCCCACCTCCCCTGAGCCCCCAGGCCGGTGGGGGTCTGGCTTTGGGGAAGAGCCTGGCCCATCCCCCGTGGACGTCCTGGTGGTCAGCAGCAGATGCGTGCTGCATCTGTCGCTCCTTCGGAAAATGGGCTGACCTTGCTCTGCCCTTGGAGTCCTGACTGGGGACTTTCCCCAGGAACAAGAATGAAATTGACCAAATGGCGTTTCTAAGGAAATGACCCCAAGGTGTACCCCTCACAGCGCAGGAGTGAGGAGGAACTTAGCCTCAGCAAGGCCCGGATTCATGGACACAGTTCTCCGTGGAAAATCCAAGCCCAGGAACCATGGGCCTCCCGTGGCAGATGTCTGGTGACTTCGGGGTACGTAAATCTTTGGGATCAGAGCTACTTTGGGGTGCTGTGGTCAGAACTGTCTATCACAGGGCCCTTGGCAAAGCCTGAGCAGTAGACTGATCCGTTGTCCTCAATCCCATCGCTCCTGTTGCGTGGACCCAAGGAGTCTCATGTTTGGCATCTCAAGGGGGGACTAGCGAGATCGGATGTCCAGCTGAGTCGCTCCATGGGACTCGGGACACACAGTGACTCACACAGGCCCAGACCAGACGGAGAAGGCACTTTCTGTGGAGGGTACGCAGGACGCTGCCAAGGATGGGACCCACAGCCAGGGCCGGAGCAGCAGTCTAGTGGGCCATGGGGTGGTCGGAGACAGGGAAGGGGCCAAGGTCTGGGTCAGGGTCACCGGCAATGAATGGGAAGTGGACTAGGGAGGGCCCAGCCGTGGGCCGCCGAGGGCTGGCTGCATGGCACGCGTTGGGCCAGGCCCGAGCCCTGCGTGTGGTGCCTGCCTAATTGGCGACTTCGGAGAAGTCGGGGTAGAGGTCCAGGTCAGCAAAGATGTCGTTGGGGTTTCTGCAGCTGAGGTTGCAGAAGCAGGCGTTGATCCACAGGGCCCGGCGGGAGAAGCCGGGCCCGTCGGGGCACCGGAAGGAGATGTCGATGGTCTTGGACTTGTAGGGGATGCAGCACCTGTTGTCCGTGCAGACCCCGCAGTACTTGGGCCTGTAGGCGCGTGTGCTGACGCAGCCGGCGAGGGTGAGGTTCACGGGCGCCTCCGGCTGGTACACAGCCAGACACTTCTTCCCTTCCTGCGGGAGGGGGTGTCGGTTGGGATGCTCAGGGGACGAACCACCGCCTCTGTCCTCCCAGCCTCACGGCCCCTCTTCTCTCACCCCCTCTCACCCCCTTTCTTTTAGATCCGCAGCATCTTCAAGCTGGGGAGGCCCTCCCCCAACCCAGCAAGATCCCCCACCCCGTGCGACGCAGGAGTCAACTGAGGCCCACAGACCGGAAGGCTTTGCTCAGGTCATGCCTCGCAGTCCACAATTTCCCTTCTTCCCTCCATTTCTGCCGGCCCCACCTCCCGCCCACACGACACCCCTGCAGCTCCCCCATTAACCAAGTGCCCAGGTAACTAGTGACCAGGTACATGCTTTACCCTCCTCCCCCTCCCCCTGCTCCCCTCAGCCTCTCACACCCACTTACTCAACTGAGTGGTGTTATTTAAAAGTAGCTCGCCCAGCTGGTATGGTTGAGCGTCGACCTATGAACCAGGAGGTCACGGTTCGATTCCCGGTCAGGGCACAGGCCCGGGTTGCGGGCTCCATCCCCAGTGTGGGGCGTGCAGGAGGCAGCCTATGCCTGATTCTCCCTCATCATGGATGCTTCTATCACTCTCTCCCTCTCCCCTCCTCTCTGAAATCAATAAAAATATATTTTAAAAAATAAAAGTTGCTCTGTCTCTCCCTTGGGCCACTCAAGAGTAGGGTTCTTTCTGGGCGCCCGTGGTCTAATTCTGTGCTGGCCCATGGCAGGCGCTGGACAGGAGGTCTAGGGCCCCGTATGTTACGGACGTGGGGCCTGGAGCACAGCGATGGGGGGCATGGGCCACCATCACGTGCAGTCAGCAGCAGGCGGGCATTTGATGCCAGTGTCCCGGGCCCCATCTAGTGCTCCTGTCACCCACGTGGCTGGTGGTCACGAGGGTCCCCCAGAATCACCAGGGGACCAATTCTGAGGGTCCCTGGGTTCTCTCCAGAGAGACCCTGATGCTAATAACATACTCACCACGATCACTCCGTTCAGTGAAATTCACAAGATGCCCACCCGGTGACACATGTTACCCCGATAACGGTTAGGAGGTAGGTTTACCCCCATTTTACAGCGGCCCCCTGAGAAAGCTGGGGGGCCAGGCTCAGAGCCCAGCTCCCCTGTGGAGCACGAGATGCCCGCCCTGCCGCCCGGGGAGGGGACCCACCTTGATGAGCGGACGGATGTCCACGTCGCAGGGCCGCAGGGCGCAGAGGCGGCTCTCCTGCTCAGGCCAGCAGCGGGCGTTGGCGTTGGAGACCCGCGTGGAGATGCCCAGGCCGCAGCTGGTGGAGCAGGGGCTCCAGGGGCTGGTGTGGGCTATGCAGTTCCCGTGCCAGGGCTCGGCCTCGCCCATGACCGCTGCGGACAGACACCAGACCCCCGTGAGTCTCCAGCCTCCATCCCCCCCAACCCCCGCCACCCGAGGTCCCTGAAACTCGGCCAGGACGGAGGTGGCCAGTCGGCTTCTAACAGCCATGGGTGCCCAGGGGCAGCAGGCCTTGTTCCGAGTCCCTCCTCTTCTCTTCTCTGGAGGGTAGGCCATCTCTGGGGACAGGTGGACCTGCGTTTAAATCCCGCTCGGCCACCTACCACTGTGTGACCTTTGACATCTCGGTCGGGCCCTGCCTCCTCACTGAGACAGGACCAGCAGCCTCACGGGCTGGGCGGCCATGAGGGTAACCTAGACACTGACTGAGTACGTGTCCAGCGTCTGCTTGGGACTGGGATAAATCCATGGGACGCTGTTCCTGCCTCAGAGGTCACGTTTATCTGGGGGAAGGTCAAAGGCCAGTGGCTACCCCCCGGACCCAGCATTTTGTCTGGGTGAGGCTGAGGGCACGGTGCTCAAGGGGACACACAGGCTTCAGAGGGAGCGGGTGGGTGCAGCTCTGAGCAGGTCCACCTGCCCTGGGGGTGGGGTGGGGGATGGGGGGCGGTGATGGTAGCGTCCCCTCCTGGGCTGTGGGTGGAAAGGTGGGCTTGCCCCAGGCTGCCCTCGCCTCAGTGAGCCCTCAGCCAATGTGAGCTCACACGGTTTCCTAACCATCGGCCAACAAACACCCGCTCTCGGGTGGGTCATTAAGGTTTCTCTCCTGGCATCTAGAATGCTCTCTGGGCCTGAGAAATGGAGAATGCCGTGAGCTAGGGGTGGAGGCGGGGGCACGGAGGATGGGCCGAGGTACCCAGGCCGACCCCAGGAGGAAGCCAGTCTCCCACCCTGCGGAGCAGGAGAGAAAGGAGCAGGCAGAGGGGAGGGGGGAAGACAGATGGAGACAGAGTGGGGGGGCGGGGGAGAGGGAGAGAGAAAGGGGCTGGGAGAGAAGGTGATAAAAATGCGGGAGGGAGAGACAAAAATAGGAAAGAAAAGCCATCTAATAGGATCAGAAAGGGGGAGGTGAGGCCTCATGCCCAGCCCCTCAAGGCTAGAGGTGTGCAGGAACATTGATGCATGAATGAGGGATGGATGGGAAGAGGAGGGGAGGGGAGGGGAGGGGAGAGGAGAGAGAGGAGGGGGGAGAAGGAGGAGGAAAAGAGGACAGAAGAGGGGTGGGTCTGGGTGAGCTGGGCTGTGAGATGGAGGGAGGTGCGGAGGGGAGGGATTTGCCTGAGAGGATAAAGGGCTTTGGTTTCTGGGTCACCTGCTAGGCAGGCAGGGGCTCTGCTGGTGTTTGGTCAGAATGGGGTCACTGGGCCACACACAGCAGGCAGACAGCCGCCCTCCCCTACCCCCTGTGGTGGGACTGCTGCCCTGGGCTTGCCAGGGACACAGCGCTCCTGTCACATCCTCCCCACAGGGACTGCTTCTTCCTGGGGCTGGCTCAGCCCCTGGGACACCCCAGCCACACCCACAGAGGCTGTGCAATCCTGAACCCCAGCAGGGAGTGGGGTGGGGGCCTCCTGGGGTGGCCCCTCTGCACCGCGGCTCTCCTGCTTCCCGTTTGTTCTCTTCTGGAACACTCTCTTCTCTTGGCCTCTGCAAACCGTCCTGTGCCCGCCTGCCTCTGGGATCTGCCCCCTTCAGCTTCTCTCTCTCCCCCTTGCCACACACACACACACACACATGGCGGTGGCTCAGAGGACCCCGTGTCCCCCAGGTCTGCTGGCCTTTGGCGCTGTTACCACTTGAGTGGCAGGTGGCATGGGCATCTGGTGGGTAGGGATCGGGATGGTGCTTAGCATCGCTCAGTGCACAAGGCCGCAGCCCATCACAAGGAAGGATCTGGGCGGAAGGCCTCGCCCCCCTCCCCTCTGCACCCTCGCCTGGTCTGCACGTGGGATGGTCATGAGCCGCACCTGCCTGGCTTTGCTCTCCACAAAGCCCTCCCTCATGTCAGGCTCCAAGGACCCCGTGGGACAGGCAGAGCCGGGCCGTTCCCAGGTTACCCCGGGAAGGGGGTCCAGAGGAGACGGACCCCCAGGCCCACCCTCCGGCACCCACGCTTGGCGCCCACGCGCAGCACCCACCTAGGTCCCCCGTGTGGCGCGGCGCCGTCTTGCGCAGCCTCCGGGCTCCAT